AATAAATTATGCCAAAAATCTGTAAAAGTTATAAAACTTGAACAATAATTGTGTAAAAACCATTCTGTGATCTCAAATCTCACTGATGTCCAGTATTTTTCTGTCCTTGCAGTTTCTGCAGATTGTGTGACATACTGTACCTCAGTGAAAAATCACAGCAAACTATTCTCAACTGAATGTTTTGGTGTAATTTGTATGTTTTAGAAGCTGTGCAACAAAATACATAATATATATTTTTTATTTTATTTACACAATAGTAATAGAGATGCTACAGAAGAATGGACAGCCTTAATAATAAAACAAACTTAGCTAAATTAGTAAAAAATGAAAGATGTATGTGGAATGGCTCACCTTTTGTTACATACAAATAGAAGAAATCGCAGTAAAGGATGGTCTGAACCACTCCCGCCACGATCGCAATCATATCAAAGAAGCCTTCAAAGTAGAACCTCCATATCCAGTTGATGAGATAGAGCGCTCTGTAGAGGCCCAGGAAGAACAGGTAGTGGGTGGTGATGGTCTCAGCCTCGCCCGTTTTACTGATCATGAAGAGCTGGGGCAGAATGGCCACGGACTCCAAATAGATGGAAAACGTCCACAAGATCTGGAGCACAAAACGTGGGGTTCACAGAAGTTTCATGGAAAAGTACCAGCAGTGTTTAGACTTTACTCTAATTTCAACAGATGTGTTAAAAGAACACGATTTAAACTTTGCAACTAAGAGACAAAACAAACGAACTATAAGTGAAACTTTATCCAGACTCTTTCCTGAAAGTTAAACATCAGAGGGTGACTGAGTGTCTGACCTCCAGAGGAGAGAAATCGTGGTTCACTAGAAAAGCCAGCCCACCAACAGGGATGATCAGGAACTCCACCCTGAACGTGTCATGGTTCCCATCATAGGTTGCTTTGAACTTCATGTAGATCAGGTACACCGTGGCGTACGAACAGCCGATGTAGATGATCTGGAAAATAAAACGAGTGTCAGGAAGATGTGAGCAGAAGGCTGGTGGTGGCAGGTGCTGTTCCACAAACACAGGCGTGTTCGGTAGACCTACGAGCTCAGCTCAATGAGCTCAAGATAAATACGTCTGGTGGAATCAGCGTCCMCAGAGGATCTTCATTCATTTGTTTCATTTTGTAGAAAAAAAGCAGATCACAGACACACAAAACTAAAGTTAATTCAAATGAAACTTTATGTCTTTAAGAAACACTAAAAGAAATCAAGAAAAAACTGTGGCAGTCAGTAGGGCTGGGAATCTTTTGCTATCTCATGATTTCATTCAAAATCGATTTTGAATTTTGCACACAGTGAAGCTCATGTCAAACCCAGAATCATTCAGTAAAAAACAAAATGAACCCAAATCATTCAATGAAGACAGGGTCAGCTATATATACATACATACATATACAGTGGGGAAAATAAGTATTTAGTCAGTCACCAATTGTGCAAGTTCTCCCACTTAAAAAGATGAGAGAGGCCTGTAA